GGACTTTCCGTTTTGAATTTTCCTTGGAGTTGGGTGTCTTTGTTATCTTACTTTTTATATTTGTCAATGGGAATTTTGTTTTTGATAGGTAAAAAGAGGTTATAGTTCAATGATATCGTGATTAAATCATGTTCGTAATGGTTCAGTACTGAGATTCTTATCGTTTACCAAATAAGAAAAGTAGTGATGAAAATGAGCAAACGTTATATATGAATATGTTTTAGAAATAAGCGACAAGGATAATGTTTTATAATGATATTCAAGTCTTACAAAAAATGTTTCAATAGTAATTTTCAATAAAAGAGAGGCAGAAGATACCAAAGGGTGAATCTAGAATCATAAGTCGGAGAAAAACCGACAAAACCAATCAAAACCAGACAAAACCAGACAAAACTAGACAAAACCAGACAAAACTAGACAAAACTAGACAAAACCAGACAAAACTAGACAAAACCAGACAAAACTAGACAAAAACGAAAATCGACGAAAAGACAACCAACATTATATATAAGTATAGGTATAGTTTGAGACGTACAACAGATGGTATTATATATTTAGTGTCCTTAATCAATTACGTAAATACACCAAAATATTCGGATATCGCGAATCTTCCTATTTGCAAACTCAAAAACCAAGATTCCAGGTTGTTGATGAGGATATTATCTTTAGTATGAAAGCAGAATTAAAGTACATATAAATTACCAGCCGTTAAACACACTTTCAGTTACTATGATTAGATCCAACGAATGCCTGTATAAAAAAAATATTATGCCCATATAAGTACCGATTATCAGGTTGTCTGTATATTAATATTGTAAAATATCAGCTACGATTCACAATATGAAGCTTTTTGTCGAGTGAGCGCAGCGGACGAGTTCAAAAAGGCTTCATATATTGTCTCGACGAAACACAATAAAAAACACACAAAACACACACACAAAACGATAATATTTTGAAAAGAAAGGCGGGTCCATTCCCCAAACGCCTAAGTTGATAAAGTAATTCTTAATCATACAAGGCTGTTTGATATTTTTATTCCCTTACGGTTAAATGTTTCCCCCTCTAATTAGAAAATGTCTGCTTTTTAAAGACAACCTTTTAATAACTTTTTAAAAATCTAAACATAGCCGATAAAATCTTGGAACCAACAGTCGTATGCATCTCCTATATTTAGACTGTGAACTATTATTGTGAATGTAGTTTCATCAATAAATTCACAAATAAAAATCAGTTTAAGAAATTCACGTGAATCATTATTAGTAATTACATCAATCCCTATACATAGTCGAGATCTGATTTTAGAGTTGGAACGATTTAGGGATTTACATGGGAAATATCGTCTAATAAAGTATTCAGTTACAAAGCAGTCTTTTCATATTGTCAGCAATTCATGTCAATTTTGAAATTCGCATATAAGTGGACGGATTTTAAATGTCATGAATCCGACAAAGACTGAAACCTGTAGGAGCCTCGCCTGTTATGGCGTAGTCTTATGCGATATAAAATGTCACTAAACTTTTGATTTACTGACATCTAATCTAAATTCCACTGATGACGATCATGAAGGTCAGAGTTACTGGCAACAACACTATGCACTCGACGTGTCCGGGATATTACAAATACTTTATTTTGAACATTTTACGAGCATTAGAATTGACAAACACAGAAATATGTTGAAAGCGTCGTAAAAAAAATCTTTTGCGACAGTCAAATCCATTGTTGACTCAGATCTCTCTTCTAAAACAGAACAGTTACTTCTTTATTGACATTGAGATTGAAGGAGATGCACTAGTATGGACATATTAAGCAGGCATCTTATATGAACATTTTACTTCTGGTCATTTCGTATGGAAAAAAATATATTAAATTTACATATACATGCATATACATACCATAAATTACGTAAAACTTTTACCAAATTCTTTCATAGATACAAAGATTTGATTAGTAAATTTGGCTGTACCTGTAGGAAACTGATTAAAAACGGTATTTCACATCCTAAATTTTACGGTAATATTGTACTTAAAGCGCGGAAATCACTATGTGATCCGTGTAAACTCATCGAACCATTAAACAAACTTATTAGTAAAGGTTATCTTACCAATGTTGTAATTAGATCTTTGAATATAGTTTACATTGGCACTAATATCGATTTTGTCATCAGCAAATTAAAACATAACTAAATTTGTATTCTTTTCAAACGGGATGTATAAAGACACACCCACGTTCATTTTGATCTATAAAGAGGTTAAACTAACTATCCTACTGCCTGTCGATACATTTATTTTTGGCATTGCACAAGTCATGTCTTTTTTGCCTGTCCATGACGTTAAAATACTAAATCCCTGGGATGTGTTTTAGTTGATTTTAGTCTCTGATGCATGATTTTTTTATTATTAATTGTTTTTGGCTTTTAACTAGCTGTCAGTAACTGCGAGTACTCTCAAATCGTACTTTCTTGTTTATTTGACCTGTTGATACTAATTGTAATGCTTTTTTGTTATTTAATGTTATTCAGGGTTATATCTGGTCTATATACCAGCTTTGATAAGTGTTTGGTATTACTATAAATTTTCACTTCGTACTATGAACATCAAAATTATTTATTTTGTAAAAATATTTCCTTTCTCTATTTGAACTGTACACGTATACCTAACAACAAAATTATTTTCATTTACCTGTGTTTAAAGTAATTGCAAATGGCTGATATTTTTGTTCGAGCATATTGTTTTTCTTAAATTTTTTAACATTTCATAGCGGTATAACATGTTACTTTTATTATTCTTCCCTTAGTTTATTTATTTTATATTTACATTGTATCATAGGTCAAATTTATTTGTTCAGTGTATGTTCACTGGTGTTAATATGTCCTTTGATTGAGTTAAGCTATTTCAGTTGATATTTTATAGAGTGTCTTTCTATGTTGTGATGTTACACTATTGTTTCAGAAAAAGGGTGAAGGTTTGGTACCATTAAAACGTTTAAACCCGCTGCATTTGTTTGCACCTGTCCTAAGTCAGGAATCTGATGTTCAGTAGTTGTCGTTTGTTGATGTGGTTCATAAGTGTTTCTCGTTTCTCGTTTTTTATATAGATTAGACCGTTGGTTTTCCCGTTTGAATGGTTTTACATTAGTAATTTTTGGGGCCCTTTATAGTTTGCTGTTCAGTGTGAGCCAAGGATCCGTGTTGAAAACTGTACTTTGACCTATAATTGTTTACTTTTATAAATTTTGACTTGGATGGAGAGTTGTCTCATCGGCACTCATACCACATCTTCTTATATCTATGATAAAAGTACTTGATAAATTATAAACCAAGAGAGATAATTTTAAGCCAAGAGAGCAATTATTTTAATCATCATTTTCCAACAGAGACTTAACCGTACATTTGACATGTCAATTGTATCAGTCACATATTTTAAATTAAATTTAATAAATAAGAGATGAGTGAATATTACATAATAACAAATCTCTCTCTCTCTCTCTCTCCCAAAAATATACACACTCACCGCACAAACAGATGATATCGGAAAATTATGATATTAAAATGTTTTATGATCATATTAGTAAATATGACCGGTAAAAAGTTGATACTCATTTATATTGTCCTACATGTATGTGCCCGATATCTGCATTAACACGAATATGCGATTCATTCGTAAAGTAGGTACACTGTAAACAACATTGCAGTAGCAATATTATTATAAGATAGAAAGAAAGAATAAGAATTTGCAATTTGATAGAAATCCGACTGACTTAACCTTCTTAAAAGATACCAAAGGGATAATCAAACTCCTAACTCCAAAACGAACTGACAATGTCATGGTAAAAAACCAAAAAAACGAACTGACAATGTCATGGTAAAAAACGAAAAACGAACTGACAATGTCATGGTAAAAAACGAAAAACGAACTAACAATGTCATGGTAAAAAACGAAAAACGAACTGACAATGTCATGGTAAAAAACGAAAAACGAACTGACAATGTCATGGTAAAAAACGAAAAACGAACTGACAATGTCATGGTAAAAAACGAAAAACGAACAAAAGACAAACAACAATACTTGAGATTTGTGATCGTAGATACAACACATAATTTCATGAGCTTAATGTTTCCTGGTATCGGTTCTACAACATTTTAAAACGATAGACGTACCAAGTCAGAACTATGGCAACCAATTAACACATGTTCCAATAATAATGGTTTTCCGGACAATGGAGAGAGCATTGGACTTCACTTTTTTTTATTTTACCACATACAGTTTTAATTTTCTTGGGGTTGTGTTGAATGATGATTGTCTGTCTTTCTCAGAATACGGGTTTGAACGTCCTTGTGGTAACATCACACTTTTTTACATATCTTTTGATAACAATTGTAAAGCCGATGACCAATATGAACAGCCTTTCTAGCCATGTGTTATTAAAAAAAACAAACATTTGTAACTGTTTTCTGATTTTTTTTCATGGAAAATGAACATAAATATATATAACATACTGGTTTCGACTCAGAACTAATCTAACATAAATTAATATATTGAAATCTTTCTCGAATCATGTAGTAATTATACTGATTTCGTCAAGTGCATAACTTAAAATAAATTATCAAACAGTCGCTTTTTTTTTTTTTTTTCAGAAACTTCCTAATAGTACACATGCACATGTTTAACCCTAAAATGCTCTATTTCTGGTAGATTCTTTGACTTGTTGTTTCTCAATGTTGTGCGATTATTTATGCAAGAAGTGAAAGATGATTTAGCTAGCTGATATCTGAATTTAAAATTATTTCTTTCTTGTAACAATAAAAAGAATCGAAATACACAGAACATTTATATAGATATAAGAAGATGTGGTATGAGTGCCAATGAGACAAATCTCCATCCAAGTCACAATTTGTAAAAGTAAACCATTATAGGTCAAAGTACGGCCTTCAACATGGAGCCTTGGCTCACACCAAACAGCATGTATGTACGCTTAATGAAATCGATAATAAGTTCAATTCGTATGAAAATAAATAAATCTTAAACAAATTAAACTGAAGAAAAACAATAAATGTTAATAAATAAAAACAAAACGTGAAAGTCCGGTAGTCTAAAACTTCATTTCTCAAACGACTTCTGATAACTCTCCAGTACAACCATGTAATTACAAGTCTTTACTCTAATGTTCATCTACGTTTTTGCAAGAATATGGTTGATAGATGTTCCAAATCAATGTTATCTATTTCACACAACAAAAACTGTGCTAAAACCTAAAACACTTGGTCTCGTTGAAGTTTGATAGCTGAGACATCGTTGAAAGTTGGACGTGAACTTTGCAAGTTGCTAACGTTGTTAACCTTCAGCGTGTTTGGATTATCTACAGCCATTGGCTGAGGCATGCTATCATAAGTTGTTGAACTGCTCATGCTCGTTGAAATAGTCCTACCGGAACCAGAAGTTGACGATGTTGAAGGCGGCGAGTCAACATTTCTGGCATATCTTGGTTGACGAGGCGAATAATTTTTTGTATAATTACCTGGAGATATTCGTGACCGTTTTTCGTAGTAAGAATCATACTCATCTTCATAGTGACCATAAAAGTAGTTAAAATTCTGAACTTCCGGAACAAATAGAATACCGGCTATTATCGCCAAAATGAGAGCCACCAATGTTAATCCATAAGACCAAGCGATGGAAAAATTCGTCAAAAGTGCAAATATCCAAAGGACACTTCCGGTAAATAACAAAACAGCTGAAATAACAAAAGTAATGCAAAGTTCATGATGCACAATGTTTCTTATTTACAAGATTGGGGTTATACCTCTACTAGTAAAAGGTGTCGGTCTTCCAGACAGTGACGTTAACCCAGTTGAAGGAGGTAAACCACTGAAGCCTGTCGATGGAGGGTAAGCACTAGATATGCCGGTTGATGGTGGGTATCCTAACGATGATCCAGTGTATACCCATCTAGCCGGTTGTGATACAATAGGATCAGATCGAAGCGCTTTCCTTGTTGGTGGGGGAGTGGGACTAGGGGTTCGTTGCTCTTCACGACAACAATCACAATCACAAGCGCAGCAGTCTCCTCCCCCACAAACACCTGCACACATGTTTGACGAATAGTAACCGGAATTTGAATATGAAGAACACCATCCTAGTTCTGGTATGAGAAGGAGACCAGCTATTATTGCCAATATTGCTGCTATGATCACCATACCACACGACCATGCCATATAAAAGTTTGTCGGAATGTATGCCAGCCAAATAAATACGCCTATCAATGCAATTGCAGCTGGAAAGAAGAAAACGGATCTAAATTTCGAACTCTTGTTTTATACATCTATATATGCTACCACGATGGAGTGTGTCAAAAGCATAGAAAGATTAAATAAGCAAGGGATTTACTAAATACGACGATATATATGTGTCTTGCAAGTGTTTCGATGTTATTCGATAAGCCAATGGTAAGGATTCGTTCCAAATGCATTTGATAAGTCAATGGTAAGGATGCGTTCCGAATCTATTTTTTTAAGCCAATAGTATGGATGCGTTCCGAATGTATTTTGTAAGCCAATGGAAGGTAAGAGGGTAAGGATTCTAACTAAGGGATATAAGTGTAAATATGTGTATTGGGAAATATATACTAGTACATGTGGGAAAAAAACAAACAATAAACAAACAACACTTATAACACAATAAACAATAAAAAAATAACATTGGAAAAACAATACAAAACAAAACAAACCAATTTGTTCTTACCGTGTGCTCTTACGCCACTGTATGTATGTGCCAGTCCCAAGTCAGAGGCCAATAATTCAGTGGTTTTCATCTGTTGCTGTATATCCTATTTGTTTTTCGTTTATTGTTTTTTACATAAATCAGGCCGTTAGTTTTCTCGTTTGACTTGTTTTACATTTGTAATGTCAGGCCTTTTATAGCTTGCTATGTGGTATGGGTTTTGCTTATTGTTGAAAGCCCTACGATGACCTAAAGTTGCTAACTTCTGTATCATTTGGTTTTCTCATAGAAAGTTGTATGAACTTGTATCATTGGCAATCATAGTTTTTACCACAAATTAATGACTAGTATTTGTTCAGTATCGCATAAACAACAATTTACCAAGATTTATGGTTCGGCACCAAATAATAACTTATCAGTTCCAATCTAGGACCCTGCGTATTTTCAACTGTAGTGAATGCACAAAATCTTATTGGCTGTATATAGACAATAGTCGTGCTTATTTGCAATAATTGTTGTTTGCATAATATATTTCCCATGCTTTCTAATGAAAAAACGAATCTGAATATACAAAGATCGATTGTACTTTCGAAGTATTGGTAGAGCTGAGAACTGAAAATATTTGCTGTATAAACCCACCTGTTAGAAAACACATGACCATACAAAACACTGCATAATTGTATGTCCGGGCTCCTGCAGCGAAGACATAAATCCCTAAAAACACTGGGGTCACAAGGAACATGATCAATGCCATTACCTCAAAAGCTTGGGTGGCTCTGAAGTTATCTGAAATACAGAAGATTTATGTATACATGTAAAATTTTCTGAGATATTATTAACTCTAGAAGACAACAGTTACTATCTTATACTATATATGATGTATGTATGTTGCTTATTTGTAGTATGTAGTCAATAACTGTATAAAGCCTTCGTTGAGACGTATCGCCACATATTTCCGCAGAAGTTTTATTTCTGACGTTACACAGGATTACTGGTTTGGGGAATTTTCATGTATCCCAGCTCATGTTCCAAATTCTCGGCAGGTTTCTCATTTCTATCGGTTTCTAAACTACTTCCTTCAAACTTTTTCATATTGAAGGATTGGTGTGTTAATGTTTTTATTATCAGTGTTGTAATACATCGTATTTTCGGACAACGAATTACAGCATGTCATTGTGTAGTCATAACCAATAATCTATGTAATTTTTGTAATGTATGTAAAGAAATTCTTGTAAAAGTTATCTTATGGACGAATATTAAAAAGTGTCCGCTTTACAATAATGTTTTGGCTGTGGGTTTGTGAAACATTGTAGTGACTGTCAATGTAGATCAACTACAATCTCACGAAAAACTATAAAAATTACCAATTTAGTGAAGGAACAGTGTTTCTGATGAAAAATTCTCTCTCTCTCTCTAATTGTTTTTTTACTGGTCAATTCAAACATACTAATATATGTCGTTTTATCGACTTTTTTTTATAAAATACAAATAAGAATTAAAATTAGCATGTCTTTAATTTCCATTTGTATATCAGTTAAATATACTTTGCTTACCATTTTTATAAGATGATGGTATACTTTGAGTGTCACAAGTCCCAGATGTACACGTCTGAGCTTTCCACAAACCGACACTTGTCACCGTAGTACTATCATTTTGCATCCAGTAATTGGTTGCAAAACCCACTATGAATAAGATAGGAGCAATACACATTATAACAAAAGCCCATTTGGCCCAACCTGTTGAAGTCCCAAAGGGCATTTTGTTGAAACGCTTTTTATCCTTTTCCACTGAATTACTAGCTTAGAGATCACACGTATAGTATATCATACGCAATTACATTTTTGTGATGTTATCCAACTCTTGTTTGTCTAACAGTTAACTCAATTCGTGTCCTTTTATAATTTTTACTTTTTCTTCCTAAAAAATCCTGTTTATTTAGAAACTACTACATCGAAATTATAATAATTTTGTTTCCGTTATTCCTATATAAGTTTTTATATTTTGTAAATATTTGATTTCAAGAGAAACAGCTCTGAATAGATAACTATAAAGTATATATTTTATCTATTGATGTGAAATGTATGATGAAAATTAAATTCATGTATATCAGGGGTGATGGTCGTCAATCACATTAACTCGTTCAGAAACGTAATCAGAGATATTAAAAAGACTTTTGTATTTGGATTTCTATGCCTTTTTATACATGTGAATGCCAAATGAAAATACTAATATGATGTAAATTCTGACGATTCATAAGGTATTTTAAATAGTGTTGAAAGAGCGAAATTCAATGAACGAATTCAGTATTCAAGACAGAAAGAAATAAATGATCCGTTCGACAAGTTGAAAATATACAGAAAGGATTGTTTGTAATGTAATTGCTTCGTATCGAATAAAGTAAATGTCACAAAAATATTAAAAAAACATAAAGTGACGCATAAGTTAATATTAACCATTTCATGCTTTGAAATTAAATACACCGAAGTGCAGTCATAAAGTAACCACACAAAATATTCGTAAAATTGTAGACCATTAACATTTAGTTAAAACAATTAATTGACAAACGACAGACGAGGTGTTGTTAGGGTTTACAGGATAGAGGATAATGGGTGAAAGTGGAGAAAAAACACAAAAAACACAAAACACAGAAAAATTGCCTAAAAAATTAAAGACTATAGAAAGGAAGGACCTCCCCCCCCCCACCCCCCCCCCACCCCCCAAATTCCAAACCCTAACTTATCATTGTCATTGTTATATAAATGATTTATTTTCCGGATCTTTTTGATATTGTTACTTTTGAGAAGTTGAAATAAGAGCGGATATTATATAAGACCTTCATTATAGTATGAATATTTTACCCCATAGAAGTTTGTTTGTATCCAGAGCAAAAAATAACAAACGAGCTTCTGTATAGTATGAACATTTTATCCCATTTAGGCCTGTTTGTATCCAGAGCAAAGGACAGCTTTAATCTTACAGTAGAAGCCAGCTGTGTGGCAGAATTAATTTTCTTAATGTAATAAATGTTTAATTACCTCTTCACATAAAAAGCATGCAAACAAATTATTGATGCGTGGAAAGCCTACGAATAATAATTTTTAATATTTTGTTCAGAATGCGAAGTTATATCAAAAAGCTACTTATATGTTCTACTTAAGCTCGTGTGAATAGGAAACATAAATCATTTGGAATGCATTATGAAAATTATGTAAAGAGAGATCACTTCATGATATGTAATGTATTTCTTTGTGACTTTCGAATCAATTTTCTTCCATGGACAGACAGTATGAGAAGAGAACCATCACCCGTTTCATGATGTTAACAAAGCAGTAAATCAAATAACAAAATTACATATTGGTTGTTTTGATTCATTTTTGAAAATTCAGTGACCTCAAGTTTCGTTGCTACTGCCGAGCGTAGCGAGGCGAAACATTTCATTGTACAATTTTATGGTAAAAAATGGTACATTTTCCGTACGCTCCCTTGAGTTCCTCATCACCGACAGTAACTCTGTATCGGCTATTATGTTCATGGGACATGACGAAATGTTTCTGTGTTCCCTTAACTTAATCAATACAACACCATTGATAAGCGCTGTAGCACTTCAATCTCAAACTTGATTTGATTTTAGAGCTTTTTTCCTAATGCTTGTAGTTTGAAGGTTTGGTTGGCTTGCTTGCTTTGTTTGTATTAATGTTTGCTCAAGCATTGTAATTAAGATTGACATCTGCAATCAATAGATAGGTATACATTATACTCTGCATTATACTTAACATCCAATAACAATTAAGTATAATGTATACAAGGTGAAGCTCTGCCTATCTATTGATTGCAGATGTCAATCTTAATTACAATGCTTGAGCAAACATTTATACAAGCAACGCAAGCAAGCCAACAAAACCTTTTAACTACAAGCATTAGGAAAATAGCTCTAATTGAAAATTACAGGAACATGTTTCTTTAACTATCTTCAAAACTAATGGCCATCTAAGAAAAGGTAGACGACACTAAAAGGACACAAATTGTAATTCGAACATCATAACCAATATAACAGTTTTTTAAGTGAAATTAATGAAAACTATTTTTTAAATATTTTTTATGAGTCTCAGGTGACACTTATACCATAGACATGTACACCATACATCAAACCTATTGACTAAATACAATAGCTCTATTACAAATACCGACATAATATCCTACACATTAAGATAAACCTATTTCACCAAATAGAGTTGACCTATAATACTTGTATTTTTTAGAAATCCATGTCATCTTAAAAACTTAATGTAAATATTTTGGATTCACCCAGCTATGAAAAGTAGGTCGATAGTCAGTGTGCTTTCTACATTTTGAAATGTGAACCTTTTTTAATTGCCTTAAAGGTACTGCATCCTTAAAATGATACATCTGTATTGATTGGTTATTGTTCTCGTCTTGTATACGCATGAAATATTTGCTACTGGACATTCAGCAAGCAACAATCAATTAACTTTCAATCACATTATCATCACCATCTTTCACTTTCAGCAGAAATCGTCCTAGGTGCGAAAACAAATGAAAGTCCTATTCATATATCGTAAACGTAATAAATGAGCTGCGTCGGATAGAAATCGACCTTATGCAAGTGCACGTATAAATGTACATGTATAAGACTTTTATTGAAGTTTTGGAACATTCAAATACGGAATAAAAGATGAATGTTGGTCTGTTTTGAAGGGTTCCTATAACACCTCAATTTTCAAACAGTTGCAGACTTTGGTTTTTTTTTCAACCCGAAATAGGTTAACAGATACATTGATATTCATTTGCATAAGGTCGATTTCTATCCGACGCAGCTCAAATGATGACTGAGCTCTAGAAAAAGGTCAATATCATACACATATTCAAAAGGCTATGAAATAAAAAGAAAAAAAGAATTAAATGAACAGCTATCGACAGTGGTGCAAGCTTAAGACCACAAGTTTAGCAAAGTAATAAATCAAAACCTGTTCATTTCGGTATATTTTATTTTCTCTAATTCTTTGGCAATTTAACCCTTTCCGGCCCCAAGGCTCGGACTTTAAAATTCGATAATTTAACTATCTCAATTGGATAAATCCGATAATCCACTGGTACTAATGTAAGTATCTATATGTACATTCCATTTCTACTCTCAATTCAGTAAGTGTATCAATAAGCGTGTCTTGTATTGCAGAACGTGTAAATAAATACACATTTCTAACTCTGAATCAACCAGAAACCTGTCTTGATAATTCTTGTATCAAAATGAATAATATTTTTCAATGCTGCCACTTCAACCATGTCTAGTTCATGTCACACCTGTAGTATATGAAGCAGGAAAGACGAATATATTTTGCAAAGATTCTAAGAGAAACATTTTTGCTAGTAAAAATAGTAAGTTCTGACGCATATAATAATACATTTTATTTTAAAACATTTTGAAAAAAAGATTAATGACTTACCCATTTCATTTATCTCTAGTTTTATTTGGAGAAGTTAATTGTTCTTTTTAGGAAGCTATGAAATCTTTTTGGCGCATTTTTTTTAAACTTTGGGTTTTCAATTCTCATCAACTTCGTTACTGGTTTGACCTTCCTTCCAATTGTCTTGCGAAGACGAAACGCGCGTGTGGCGTACTAAATGACAGGTCTTGTATCTTTGGTGAGTTTTTAAAAAACATTTTCCCCGCCATTTTACTTTCTTCCGATCCTGTCTTTAATCAGAAGTTATATTCGGACAACAATATGCAAGCAACTACTACTTTTCTGGGCAATTTTTCCCAAATTTTTTGACTTTAACAAAATACCAACTTTATAAGTACTGCGGCTTTTTGTTTGTGGCAGAAGCGACAGAATAAATTCTATGCAGGAAAAGGCACATTGATTGAAATGAACACAGCATGACAACAATAGAAAGGTTGAACAAGTGAAGTAAGAGAGAACACGACATTGAGTTAGTAAAATTTCGAAACAAATATTCCAGAAAGAGCGCCTTCTATATCCTAGTAACACACACAGAGAGAGAGAGAGAGAGAGAGAGAGAGAGAGAGAGAGAGAGAGATTCTATATCCTAGTAACACAGAGAGAGAGAGAGAGAGAGAGAGCGAGAGAGAGAGAGAGAGAGAGAGAAGAGAGAGAGAGAGAGAGAGAGAGCTATGCTATTTCAGTTTGAAATAACAAAGACAGGTAAAGTCGAAATCTGACTTCAAATAAGTAAATGCAAATTGTAGATTGTGCTCCTTTTTGCAGCCTAGCCTTTAATATTTTAGAATGGTAAGAGCTACAGCTAACTTATCAAATTACTCAAAATGATTTGTCTTTAAGAAATGAAATGTTAACATCCAAATTCGCCTAAAATATACATTAAAAACTAAGACCACAGAGAAAAGAGTACCCCTAAATTTTACTCCTACTAAACTGTTAAGAGAGGCGAAAGATACCAAAGGGATATTCACACTCATAAGTCGAAGACAAGCTGACAATGACGAGGCAAAAAAACGAAAAACGAAAAACGATCAAAAGACAAACAACAGTCTACAAAACACAACATATGGCAAACAAAAGACTGAGAAACGAGAATTCCACCAAAATACAGAGTGATCTCAGGTGCTGCGGAATGGTAAGCAGATTCTGCTCCACATGTGGCACCCAACATAGGAATCAAAATTGCAGATACAGGATGTGCTACAACACTTCACTGCAAAGAAGTAATATATATATATATTTGGTTACTCTGCCTTGTAAGATCTTGTAAGTTACAACGTATTGTTCAACAAGGCTGTGGTCAAATGAATTTTGTGAGTAGTTTTATTGCCGAGGGTGTGTCTTGTTTTGTGGGTTTTCATTGGTTTGATGTGTTGTGACCTTCAATTTTTGGCCAGTGGAAAATTTCCCGCCGAAGTGTTTCAAATAGTCCTTTGTCTTCAGGCACATTCGGACAAAATTTAGAGAAGAAAAAGATTTGATGTGATCGTTGAAGCTGTTCGTAAAGTCACACATACAAGGTAGCCTGATATTTACCCCTTGATATTTTCCCAGATTATTTTTGTTTTATGGATCAAAACACGACTTTTTACATCTTTTCTCATAAATT